TACTATTATTTTGTAGTCAATTGTTCTCATTTTAAATTTGTACTTTTCACAATCTTCAGATACGGTTGAAACTTACTTTGGAAGTACACTTTTAGACTTCTCGAGGACTGCACCGTTCCTGTGAAATTCACTTTCCTCCTCCGTTAGATGCTCACCCAGTCTCCACTCCTTCATATATAATATTAATAATTAGTGTGTGTTTGTGAGTGTATGTGTGTATGAGTGTGTCTGTGAATGTGTGTGTGTGTGTGACTGTGTGTGTGACTGTGAGTGTGTGTTTCTCTGAGTGTGTATGTGTGTGCATGTGAGTGTATGAGTGTGTCTGTGTTCATGAGTGTGCGTGACTGTGTCTGTGGGTGTGTGTGTGAATGTGAGTGTATGGGTGTGTGTGTGTGTGTCTGTCAAATCATCGAGAGTCTCTTTGTCATTGAGTCTATGTGTGACTGTCAGTGTTTGTGTGTCTGTCAGTGTGTGTCTGCTAGTGTGCATGTATGTGTCTGTTAATGAATGAGTGTGTGTCAGATCAGTGAGTCTGTGTCTGTCAGTGACATCTGTGCGTTTGTCACTGAGTGTGTGACTGTCGGTGCGTATCTGCCAGTGTGGGTCTATTGGGGAATATGTGTGTGTAAAGTCAGCGAGTCTGTGTCTGTCAGTGACGTCTGTGTTTGTCATTGAGTGTGTGTGTGTGACTGTCAGTGTGTATCTGCCAGCGTGTGTCTGGGACACTATAGGCACCCAGACCACTCCCAGTGAACATCTGTATGAACTCTGATAAAACCACTTCTTCAGACAGAGAATTCCCCATCCTTATTGGTAGTACAGTAAAAGAATTATTATAATACGTTTACATTTTTCACCCAGCCTTCCTACCTGTCGTTGGGGGTCCAGTGGGACTGCTGTGAGAGCATTGAATGCGGCTGTGTTAGAATCAAAGGCGGTGAGGGAGCTGTGATCTCCCTGCTCTGCTACCTCGCACCTAGCGATGCTGGGAGCCGGAATGACATCATATTCTGGCTCCTGTGGCATCAGCAAATGGCGCACAAGGCAGCTGAGCAGGGAGATTTATTTATTATTGATTACTGGTATCACAGCTCCCTTGCCGCCTTTGATTCTAACACAGCCGCATGCTGGGGGGGGTATGGACCCCCCATGACAGGAGGAAACATTGTGGATGCCCGAGTGGGCATTTGGGGATGGCGTTTTTTGCCACCCCCTGGTTAGTGCCGCCCAAGGCAAATGCCTAGTTTGCCTTGGGCTAAATACAGCACTTAGCGCTTCCGGAATCGAAACAGACTTTTGGTACATTATCTGATGCTGGATGTCCTCACGCTCTGCATGAGGACCTCCAGCTTCAGATTTTCCCCGTAGGAAAGCATTGAATAATGCCGCACATGCGCATTAGATCTCCCCTGCCTGACATTAGCGGGAGAACAGTGTGGATGGAGCCTGACCAAGTGCCGAAGGGGCATCAGCGCTGGATTCAGGTAAGTGGCTGAAGGGGTTTTAAGGAGGGGAGGTGCGAGGGAGGGGGCATCTTTTAAACCTATAGTGCCAGGAAAACAGGTTTGCTTTCCTGGCGCTATAGGATCTCTTTAAACATAAATTGATTGATTCATGTATTTTCCCTCAATTTAATAAGCTTTCCAAATTATTAAATACTGTAGGAACTTTCAAAATGATTTACTTTGTCTAAAGTATCTAATCATTTGGAAAGCTTATTAAATTAAGTCTTTTGTTAAAATAAATATACAAATATCTATGAAAATCATCACTCTTATGGGCTGATTTAAAGCATCACTGTCATATTCTGGGTTCTTTGCATATATTGCAAAGACTCCAGATGGTGATCTTGTCGCTTGCAGGGAAAGGTACGTTCTAGTGACCAGAACCTGTCCCTCTCGGATGCAGCTATCTTCATCCACCGGATCCTCTTCAACTTCTGGAGCTTCATCTGCCAAGATCTGACATAAGCGATGTACTCTCATGCATGTAAAAGAGTATAACACTGATGTCTATGGAAGATCCTGCAAGACTGAAAGGGTCTTCATAGACACATCATTGTGACAGCTGAGGACTTGAAAAAGCTTGACAGTAATACTTTTTGTCGAGTTTGTCAAGTGTAGGAAAATTATGTAAGACAAAGTACCCCCTAATTTGTTTTATGATATCTTTTGAATGGGTTGGAATTTCAGAGTAATTACAACACAGACTTTATGAGCATTTCATGAAGATTTTATCTTTATGACTACTCATTTGGGGGGAAACACAGCCACTTAAACTCAGATGTTTCAATCAATTAGATGAACATCAAATGCAGGATTGATATGGCACTTACTTATTAAACAAATACAAACCACTGGAGTCTGTTCTTCAAAAATATACCTGCAATGTGAATTATGTCCTGATTAAAAATAAAAATTAAAGTTCTAACGGCTAACAATATAATGTTTGTTTTTCGCATGTGGTGATAATGACACAACTTAATCAAATTTAGGTCATGAAGCATGCAAATTATTTCTGAAACCCAATAATTGTGTGGTGTCAATCCAACTACAGTAGGTTTGTTTCAGGAGGACAATAAAAAAAAAACCCCAGACCAAGTATTGAAAACAACGGTTACCCTTTTAAGGGCTGTTCTGTTTATTAATATTGCAATAAACAAAGTAATACCAGACATCAGTATGGAAGATTAAGCTCTGAGCATTGAACAAAGACTTATATACCTATTGATTAAACTGATTGGTACTACTTGTCCAGATAATTGATGGTCTTATATAAAAAATAACCCTATTTACATAACAAAATAGATATGATCATCTAAAAACAGTCAGAACATGCTAGAAATTATTACAAGTGAAACAGGAGAAATAACACTTTTTTGAGTTTACAGGCATTACCTCTAAAAAATCAAAAAAATAAAAAAAGGAAGAGAGCACAGAAGTATCAGCAAACACATGAAGGAGAACTATAAAGTGAAATGTTAAAAAGTGTCTCAAAGTTTACGAACCAAATTAATAAACAGATTAAAAAAACCATTTGGTTGAAGTTTCTGGTGCTCTATAATAGGTGTCTTCTAATTAGCTCGATCTACAAGCCAAGTTCCAGCCACAAAACATCACTATAAGAAGCCTTAGCAATCAGGGATACAGTGATTTCAAAATCATTTAGTGGTGTCCTTTCTTTTAGAAAGTATAAAGTGCAAGTTTTTTTTTTTAGTCTTTTTGCACTTTACTTTTTACTTGTCTGATTTTTTATTGGAGAGTTTTGCATAAGAGTAAAATAACAGTGGGGATACAGAAAGAAGAAAGGGGGGGGGAGTAGGTGGGGGGGGATTACAGACAGGTTGGATTTTGTACATTTCACTCAATACAGAAACATTTACATGGTGGGTTGTACATATGAGTAAGCATTCTGCTGCCAGAGTTCTTAATATAATGACCGTACAGTAATTTAATGTAAGTGTACATAGTATTCAAACAAGTGTATATAGTCTACATACAGAGAGCATCGTAGCATCTTCGGGTTTTACAGCAATGATTAGGACATGGCAGGTTTAGAGTGGAATGGAATAGACTGATCCAACATGCTGGGGCAAATTCAGAATGGCATATAACACCTGTAAGGTCCTGTGGCGCTAGATTGAGTTGAGGTACAGGTGCTAGAGGGACCGTTGATTATTGTTATTATTAGTGGTTCTTACTCGAGAGCATGTGATTCTCCTATTGACGGTATAGTAGCGTCTGTATGCTGGGGTGTTAATAGATCAAGTCAGAAGCCATGGAGAGGTCAGAGTGGTGCTTAGTTTACTGTACCTGGTACAACATGCGTTAATAATGGCCTTGTGGTCATACAGAAGGTGGGAGGGAGCCTCTGACAGGGGGTATTGTCTACAGATATACCATGTTTAGATTCAAATAGTTTGACTGGAATATTGCCTACTGGTATATTCTTGTGAGTGTCATATATTGCGTGAGGACAGTCAGTCCAGCCATAGAGCCGTGCTTTCCTTTGTGCATTTGCTTAGACGATGGCCCTTTAGATTAGTCATTTTGGAGTGTTTGAGGAGTTGATGTATAAGAGGTAGATGGGAGATAATGAATAAGAGTGAGATGCAAGGGGAGAGAGGGCGGGGGAGGCGAGGAGGAAGTACAGTGGAAACAAGAAGAGGGTAGAGAAGGGAGAGGGGGAGAAAGGGGAGGAACGAGAGAGAAGTTAGGTCATGAAGATAGGAAACAAGAGTCAAGAGACTTGAGGCCTGAGACCTGAGACCCTCACATCCGAGCGACTTTAAATGACGTCTGAGAGTTCACTCCATTCTAGAGACGGAATTTATCCCGAGTCGATGCGGTGTTTGTACGTGGTTTCCCAACCTTTCCATTGTTTGTTAAATTTGGCCATGTTCCCTTTTATGGCCCATTCCTTTTCATAGCAGTATGTGGTGTTTATTCTGTTTAGCAGTTCTTTTGCTGATGGGATAAAGTCACTCTTCCAATGAGACGCAATACATAATTTTGCCGCAATCAGAGTATTAATTACAGCTGCCGTTGAGGGTAGTTGGTGTGCGTTCGGTATTAAATGGAGCAAGTAGAAATCAGGATGTAGGGAGAGTTGTAGCCCGGAGATGGTGTGTATGACGTTCTGCACATATTTCCAAAAAGTATCCAGGTGTGGGCATTCCCAGAAAATATGTAATATTGTGCCCCTACCACTATTGCACCTCCAGCATGTAGGAGCAGCCGTTGGATATATTTTACTCAACCTATCGGGCACTAAATACCATCTCATTAGTACCTTGAAGTATGCTTCCCATAGATTGACACATTTGGTGGATTTTTTGGTAGTTGTTATCGCAGATAACCAGTCCTTGAGATGGAACCCCGTATCCAAGTCTTTTTCCCAGTGTAGCATGTAGGGTAATTTGGTTTCTTTTGACATGTTTAATTGGGCTAGGTAACACAATGAGAGGAATTTCGGCGGGGGGCGAGTTGTGCTCATGTTGTAGCAAGAGTGGCCTATTGAGCTTAGTATCGATGGGTCTTGATATTTAACAGTTGCAGTATGCAATATATGCTTGACTCTCAAGTAGAGGAAGATATCCCTATGTGGCAGGTTATGAGAGACCTGTAAGTCAGGGAAGGTGCGAAGGCCTTTGGAGTTATACAAGGAGTAGACATGAGTTAAGCCCTGGTGATGCCAGTGTGTTAACGACAAGTCTGGTGATAATGTGGATAGGACTCGTAATGGGGCCAGGTAAAGAAGTTCTTGCTTGGAGCAGAGGTTCGAGCTCCATGCTGTCCAAGAGTTCAGAAGAAATTTAGTGCATGGCAATGGTGGGTGGGTAGGGCATTTTTTGTGGCCCACATAGTGTCAGATAGGGAATCAAGTTGGCTACATGCTTGTTCGAGTTGAAGCCAAATTGGGCTGGCTTTTCCTGACATAATGTCCAGGCTCTGTGCTAGCGTGGATGCTTTGTAGTAGTTTGTGATATTGGGAACGCTCAGGCCACCTTGATGGATGGGGTTCCATAGGGAGTGAGCAGCGACTCTCGGAGGTTTTCTTTTCCAGATGTGCCCGTTGATAGTTGATTGGAATTTCATAAGAATTGATTTGGGAAGAGTGATGGGTAGTGTCCTGAAGAGATATAGAATATGAGGGAGCGCCATCATTTTAACCGAATTCACTCTTCCTATCCAAGAGGTGTTCAAATTATCCCAGGATTTCAGTTGGTTGGATATTTTCAGTAGGACTGCCTCATGATTTTCTTTTATAGTTTGAGAGTGTGATAGTGTGAGTTTGATACCTTAATACGTAACAGAGGTCTGGCGCCGATCAAAGGGGAATTGTAATTTCAAGTCAGCTGTGACCTGGGGTTCGAGGTTTAGAGGGAGTATTTGTGTTTTGCTGATGTTGTTTTTGTAAAATGACAAGTTACCATATGAGGCAAGAGTATACATGAGATGGGGAATGGCTCTTCTAGGGTTTGCTAAAAAAAGAATAATATCGTCCGCAAATAAGGCCAGCTTCTTTTCTCCTGCTGGTGTGATAAAGCCTGGCAGTAAGGGGTCTTGTTTGATTGTTCGTATGAGAGGCTCTAAACATAAGATAAATATGAGGGGGGATAGGGGACACCCTTGTCTCGTACCATTGGAGATATCAAAGCTTTTAGATAGGAATCCTGAGTTTAGTACTTTCGCCGATGGCGCGGAGTAGAGGGCCATAATGCTCGTAATGAAGGTTTTCGAGAATCCATAAGCTTGTAAAACAGTCTCCATGTACGTCCAATTAAGGCGATCGAAAGCCTTTTCTGCGTCCAAGGCCATTAAGACCCCGGACACACGTTGACGAGTTGCCCAGTCGATGAGGTCCATGCAAAATCTGGTATTGTCTCCCACCTGCTTGCCAGGCACGAAGCCTGCTTGTTCTTCCGAAACCAAGGTAGATAGCAAGGGTTTCAGTCTTGTGGCTACAAGTTTTGCATAGAGCTTCACATCAGCATTTAATAGCGAAATTGGTCGTAGATTACCACAGGAAGTGGGTGGTTTATTCGGCTTGGGTAGGGTAATGACGTATGCTTCCAACATGGTTCTAGGGAAGTGGCCAGTTTCTTTTATTTTATTAAAAAGTTTGGTTATGTGCGGGGATAGGTATGGTTCTAATTTAAGATAATAGTAATTCGGGAGACCATCTGGGCCTGGGGCTTTATGCCTGGGGAGAGATTTGATAGCCGCAGCTACTTCGGATTCCGTGAACGGGGTAGTAAGCGCGTTATTTTGTTGTTGTGAAATTTTTGGCAATTGTATTTTTTCTAAATAGGTTAGAATTTCTGTTATGTCTGGGGTGTGCGTATTCTCGTTTGCGTCTAGGTTGTATAGTTCTTCATAGAAAGATGCTAATTCGTTCACTATGTCGGTAGGATTATATATTTTTATCTGTGACTTTGAGAGAATGTATGGGATTTTCGTTTGAAGATATTTGGATTCCAGTTGGTTTGCTAGTAATTTTCCGGCTTTATTGCCCATGCCATAATAGTGACGTTGGAGTTTAGCTGCGTTCGTGGTGAATTCTTTGACCTTAATTTTTAGTATCTCTTCACGCGTTTCTGTTATTTGTTTCGTCGTGTTGCGAGAAGGGGATAGTTTGTTGACATTTTCCAAAGTCGTGAGTTCCTGGAGCAACTTTCGCTGTAGGTTATGAGATTTCTTCTTGATGATTGATCCTATTTTGATAAATTCTCCTCTGATTACCGCTTTGTGAGCGAGCCATTGGGTTTCTATTGATGTATCATTTGTAGTGTTGATCTCGAAATAGTTTTGCAGATCGCGGGCAATTTTCTCTAAATACGAAGGTGTGTCAAGAATGGACTCATTTAATCTCCATTTGCCTCGGCTTCTCGTTGGGTAAGGCACTGCTATTGTGATAATTATTGGGGCATGGTCCGACCATGTACTGGTCCCTATCGTTTGATCTAAAAGATGAGGTAATGTGGATTTATCTATCAAGCAGATATCTATTCGGGTATATGTTAAGTGGACCGGAGAGAAGTAAGTGAAATCCTTAGCAGCTGGGAATAGGTTTCTCCACGTATCATAGAGGTCGTGAGAGAAAATAAGATTGGAAAATGATTTGCTGTTGTGGATGGTTAGTTTGTTAGGCTTTTTATCGTTGGCACGTTGAATATCTAATGTAGGGTCTAGTGTACAGTTGCAATCACCGCAAATTATAACATGTCCTTGTTTTAGTGAGGAGATTTTCTTTATGGCTTTGTTGAGAAAGGAGAATTGAGCCTCATTTGGTGCGTATAAGGACGCTATCGTCACTTGGATTCCGTTAAGGTCTCCCACTATAACTAGCAATCTCCCATTTGGGTCAACATATTGGTTGGTTGGGGTGAATACCCAGTCTGCATGTAGTAGGATGGTTACACCTTTTGATTTGTTTGGCGCATAAGCATGATAAGCTATGGGGTATTTGGAGGAGCGTAGAGTAGGAGGGTTCTTTTTACAAAAATGAGTTTCTTGAAGGCATACTATAGCGGCTTTGGAGTTGTGCATGTCTTTTAGAGCTTGTCTTCTTTTGTACGGGCTGTTGAGGCCTTTGACATTGAGAGATAAAATTTTCATTGTATTAGCCATTGATTGATTGGGTAGCATTCGTGGCTGCGCTTAGGTGTCCTGTCCTTATGGTATGAGGGGCCAATTGAACGTTCACTTCCACAGAAGTAGAGCCAGTAGTATCAAGTGTATCATTGCGTCCAGTAAGGCGTACGGATGGGCTACTTAGTGATGCGTTCGGATGTGAGGGTAACAAGTAGAGGGAGAAGAAGGGAAGAGAGAGGGATTTAACAAGAAACACATAACTATATACAAAGGAACCTTCTTTGAAGAGAAGGTGTAGAGTGGACATGTTGAGACCACTATGAGTGTCTCGAGCCATGACCTGGGGGGCAAGAGAGAGTTCCTCCAGCCTGATGTGAATCGCGTAACAGTGAGTAACTGCTTGTAAGAATACACAAAAGTAACAAAAACATCATTAGAAGAGAGGAGATCCAATGTGGCATAAACTACAACGCCTGGAAGAGTGAAGAAGGTAGTGCTAATGTATATCTGCAATATTCATATATTTGCTAACGTGTCACCAGAGCTAGAGGATGCGTTCGGCAGGCGAACGGTTTCCGAATTCTATTAGAGCGTGACATGAAACACGGGATGGTGATATCAATATGACAACCGGGTAGTGGTGATACTAAGCTAGAGAGGGGGGGGGGTCTTGGAAGGACGACGTTGCCGAATAGTGATTCGTCTACGCTCAATCGTCTATGATGTCCTTTCTCTCCCATTGAATATAGGACTCGGCCACTTAACTGTAAAACCATAAGACATGACTAGCGAATATAAAATGTACACATAAATAAAAATTAAAATAAAGTAAAATAAATACAATAAGGCGGGTTGCACCGTATGCTGGTAGGTGAAGGGTTGTTGTTTCTGACCTGCATACGGCGCCCAGCACTATATACAGTCAGAGCATATGCACTTGTGAAAGCTATTATTTGGGAACGTGTACCTGCGACATGGTGCATGCAGCTGCAACGCTTTTTGCCGTTTTAAAGTCATAGATTAGGATTTATCCAAGGAAGGAACATAAAGTAAGCTAAAGAAAAGTACTATGTTTAATAAACTTTTTGGTGATACAAGCGCGTGCGCTCATTCCTTCTAAAGTAAGTTGGGATTGGTAGTATATTGTTGCACGGTTTTAAGTTAGTTTAATCGCTCATATTCAGATAGGCGGTGATTGCCCTTATATGCTGCATTTACTAGGTGCAGTGATGATAATCTACCATTTTATGGACATCAGTCCAAGTACAGGAGTACTGGGTTTAGAATTTCACCCGCAATTAAAATCAGAATCTGTGCTGAGTGACACATGGTGATCGTGAGCGATCACGGAGAACCAGGCTAATAGGCACAACTGAAAGGGTCCATGTCGCAATGTGCACTTCATATCTGGCGTGTACAATTATGCATTGCCACATTTTCATAGTATCTACTCCCTAAAAATGAGTTAAGGCATATAACTTAACTAAGTTTTAGAGTCAATTATGCTGACATTCAATGCAAACGTAATGACATATTACACAGTAAAGAATAAAGAGAGAACAATTGAACATGAGAACTTGTCAGCATATTGCAGTATAGGTTATACTCATCGCTTCCCGCGAATGTTGAGTTAAGAGGCAGTTCATGGTTTTGTAGTAGACGATCCCGTCATATTCCAATCCGCTTGAAGTTTCTTCGGGGAGAGGTCTGTTGCTTGTGCGGCATGTGAAGTTGTCGTGGTTGCATTCCAAAGCCCCCAGGAGGTGATTATCTTCATGCCTTCGGTTGGTTCGGTTATAACCAGTGTTCTGCCTTGTCTCCAGACCAGGAGTTTTGTTGGGTAACCCCACTTGTAGGAGATATTATTATTGCGTAGGGTTTTGGTGATGGTTATAAATTCTTTTCTACGTGCCATAGTGGAAGCTGACAGATCAGCAAATAGGAATATATTTCGAAAGGGGTCAGGTAGAGTGCCTGCCTTTCTTGCTGCGTTGAGCAGAGTGTTCTTGTGTGCAAAGTAGTGAAACTTCACAATAGTGTCTTTAGGGACATCTTGTGCCATACGTGCCGGGCGTGGAAGTCTGTGCATGCGGTCAAAAGTCCATGCAGAGTCTGGTAAGTCTGGAACTAAGATTTTACAAATAGATAGTATATAAGCAGGAAGAGCATCGTGGGATATATCGTCCGGTATACCCCTGAATCTTACGTTCTGCCTTCTGGATCTATCCTCTAGATCTGCTAATTTTAATTGAAGCATATTGTTGTCTTCTGAGAGTTTCTGAAGTTTATCAACAACTTCATTGTGAGCTACACACAGCTCGTCGGATTTGTTTTCAAGATGGCTAGTTCTTTCGCCCAGTGTTGTGATTTCCTTCCTCAGTTCACTGTCAATTTGTAGGAAATCCTTCCTAATGGTAGAGCGGAGATCTTGCAGCATTCTATGCAGACTTCGTTCTGTGATCATTGAGTCCGATAGTTTGGAGGAGATTGATTCAGCATCTGACTGGTCGTCCGACAAGCCAGGTGTGTCGCCGCCATCTTGTTTGTCTTTTCTCCGGTCTTTATTCCGGGTTTTCACCGCGTCCATGATCTTCAGCTGTTTGGGGGGTGACATAGTCGTTGGGTAATACCTTAGGAGCACGGATGGGTGGTCAAATGTGCAGTTTTTGCTTCTGTTGTCGCTGTCAGGCTAGATTTTCGGCGGAGCTCTCAAGCCATGCGTCCGTTCTCGCCGGAAGTCGGACACGCCCCCTGCACTTTACTTTTTAAGGGAGCAGAAGATGAGGATTTTGAAGATATTGACAACTTGACAGCTTTAGATTTAGTAAATAGATATTTCATTTTGCCCCCTTACAGGTAAAGTTAACCCAATAGTAGAACCTTAGCAGTAGCTAGACTACAGTCCCAATGATGCTCAGCAAGCCTTAAGTGTAGTATCATGGAAGCTGAAGTTATAATACAGTTAGGGGTATTATCTATATGGATACACCATACAGATTGAGCTTCCTTATGCCTACATGGATTTTGACACTACTGAGTATGTATGTATGTATCTATCTATCTATCTGTCTATATTTCATTTTCTTTTTTATAATTTTTTTTTATGGGTTGGGTGGCAGGTTTCACACTTAATTTTTGTATTGTGCCTTTAACCAATTTTCATGGGTGGGGGCCTGAGGAAACTGGACTACCTGCATGTGCTCCATTATTTCCCAATCCACTGCTATTGGATGGTGGCTATAGGGGATCAGTTGAAGGTACTCCCTGGTACTATTACAGTACCCATCTAACGACTGTAATCCCACAGCATTTAGCAGTCATATCAGGCTACCTGGATAG